GTAGCGGTGACTGTGGGTGCCACCTATCCAGACGTAATACCGTCTTATTTAGCCACATTTTCAAGGCCGGGCACATGTGTGGAAGTCACATGTGCGAGCAAAGCACATGCGTGGAAGGCCGGGCGCATGCACGGAAGGCGCACACGCGTGCAGCGAGCATGCAGAAAGCCGGGCGCATGTATGCAGCGAACCAGTGGCAACAATATGTGAAACCCACCCCTGATTAAGAGGATAGGGAGACTTTGGCTTTCCAACCCAAATCAAACAAAAATGGGTTTATGGCGAGGAATTCACTAAGCCGAGAAGGATAGCACAGCCCTCATCTTAGATGGTTCTCCTCCTTTTCATGAGGGCATCCTCTAGATCAGTGATGGCTAACCTTTTTGCTGTCATGTGCCAAAAGCGGGAGGAGCATGGGGGTGAGTGAGAATTATGCCCATAATTCAATGCGTCCTGCCCCCTGCGCATGCGCGTGCAACCCCCTCCCCACTCCCCTGCTTCTGGCACATGATGGCATGGTAGGCCCGTTTTTTGCCTTCCTCAGGCTCCAGAGGCATTCTTGGAGCCTGGGGAGGGCGAAAATGGCCTCCCCCTCCCGGAGGCCCTCCGGAGGCCAGAAACGGCCCATTTCCCGCTTCCAGTGGGACCGAAGGCCCATTTCTTACTCCCCCCAGGTTCCAGAGGCTTTCTAGGAGCCTGGGGAAATCCAGATTGGCCTTCCCCACCCCCTGAAGGCCCTCCGGAGGCCAGAAATAGCCTGTTTCCTGACTTCGGGTGGGCCTGGAAGGCCTGAAAATTACCTGGCCGGCATGCACATGTGCACTGGAGCGGAGCTAGGGCAATGCTGGCATGCCCACAGCTATGGCTCCATGTGCCACCTGTGGCACGCGTGCCATAGGTTCGCCATCACGACTCTAGATGTTTGAAAGGCCAGCTTTATCCTCTCAGGAAAGTGTTCCCTTTTTCTCCTTTTCTCTCTTATCACTTATTATTTTCTACGGTCACTGTTGATGCATTAACAGCAGAGGGGGAAAAAAATCTTCTGCTTTTTACAACTCAAACTTTAGGAAACTTACATAAATTTCATTTTTTTAAAAAAATTAAAACTTACAGAAGATTCCATCGATATTTTTCAAAGACCCACGTTGTAGCCCCCCAAAAGTGGAAGGTTCTGCTTTATGTGATGAAAAGATCCCCAAATTAAAACTTCATCATAAATTGGCAGGGGGAGGAGGAGAAAAAGGAGAAAAAGGAGAAAGAGGAGGAGAAATTTAGTATTCTGGTGGACCTCCTGATATGGTTGAACTTTGCTTGCCACCACTCCTATTCACAGTATCCAATGATGATTAGAGATGAAGCATAATAGGATCTGAAAAGCCTCACATTTCCTGTAGGTTGAAGCAGAAAATATTAGCATGGGGGGAAAAAAAAGAACAAAGAAGTCAGCATAAGTTTGCCGTTAAGATCTCTTGATAGTAAACCATTCATGTCTACTAATTAGGAGTATAATTTCATTTAGGTAAGAATTTATTTTAAAAGTGTTGTGTGAATCCTTGTGGTTTTTCTTCAACATACATCAAAGAACCTGCATTCTTTAGTAAGCAGGGCAGCTAAATAAACACGGTAATAGTTCCAGATATTTTGGTTCCCAGCTCCTCTGTGAAGTCCTTCAGCCTGATATTCAAACCGCGATTCAGATGTTCATTGAATTTGCTCATCCAGATACAATGTCAAAGAATCCCATTCTTTCCAAGTACATCACATTAGATTTTCATTGGCAGGACCAGATGCTTTCATGTTGGCATCAGCCTGGTGTCTCTCTTGGCTGCCCTGCTGAAGGTGCTGGATGCAACTTCAAAATATGAAAGTTCATTTTCTGTAAGTCCTAAGTAGTCCCTAGTGGGTTGCTGAGCCAAAAAAAACATCCTTTTCCCAGCCATAATGAGCAGCATTTCCATAAACCACATTAGAACAAATTGTTTCAGAAATATGTTGAGGGAATAACTGAGAGAGAAGACAAGATGGTCTTCAGCCCAGCTGAAATGTTCAATGTCCTTTAGCGCTTCACGCTTTGTGAAGGTGCGTAAGAGAAAAATTACCCCATCATGCTTTCAGCTTAGCATTATTCTCCATGTTTATCCATGATTGTTTCATATTTAAAGAACAACAAAATATTGTGTTTTGTCAGCCAAGGACAATAATAGTTTAATAGTAATTTATTTTCCATTGCTACTGATAATACAACCAATCAACACGTTAAGTGGTGCCAACATTGGCATGTTGCTAAATAAATCTCTAGGCTTTGCGCTGCGAATACATCTTTCAAAGATAAGTCAACAAGAGCAATCAGAGCAGAAAATTAGAATTTGGTATGTTAGAATTAAAATACAGCTAAACTAAAGTTTTAATTGGGGTGATCTAAAAGGGCACTTGATGTAATGATCTCTTTCATTTGTTACTAATTGTTTGTTTCTGATGAAGAAGAAACATGTACATGAATGTGCCGTTTGAAAAAAAAAAAAAAAAAAGATGGCCGTTGCCATAGCAGCTCGTTTCTATGGTTCGAAGAGGAGGGATCACCCAAATGAAAGGAAGGTCTGCTTGTGGATTTTAACTTCTTTCCTGACACTTCACCACAAGAGATGGGTTTTGTTGGGGTGGTAATACTACATATTTTTTAAAAAAATCTGAGCTTATATTTGAACTGGAAGAATACTCTACTGCAGGGGTGTCAAACTCGATTTCACTCAGGGGCGCATCAGGGTTGTGTTTGACCTTAGAGGGCCAGGGGGCGTGGCCAGGGGTGTGCAGGGCCATGGTGGGTGTGGCCAGTTTGACATCACTCATGTCGGGGGGGCACCTGTGGTGGCCAAGTGTTAAGGCAGAACTTCCCTGAGACTCTCCCTCACTCTCATTATAATCTCCTTCCTTCCTTCCTTCCTTCCTTCCTTCCTTCCTTCCTTCCTTCCTTCCTTCCTTCCCTCCCTCCCTCCCTCCTTCCTTCTTTCCTTCTTATTCCCTCTTCATTCTTCTTTCTTCTTCCTTCCCCTCTTTCCTTATTTTGCCTTCTGTGCTCCCGCCGAGCTCTGTTTTCACTGACAGAGGCACCACAGGCTGGTCCTTTGCTGTTTCCAGGCTGGTCCACAGGTCAGATCTAAGCACCCCGTGGGATGGATCTGGCCCACAGGCCTTGAGTTTGACATCCCTACTCTACTGCATTCAGTATTCCCCTCCATTTGACGCAGGACAAACTCTATTTCTACCTTCTGCTGGAGACAGAAACCCCCCCCCCCCGTCTACCATTTGTCAAAAGAAGGCAAAATTGCCTTATTGCTCCCAGATAAAATGGACCAAAGGCAGACCCCACGTGCACCCATGTCAAAAGAATTAAATTTCCTTTTTCACTGTTGATCTCATTTTGACTACAACGGGCCAGTCGTTGTGGATGACTGTCTCACATACATCCCTTGCATGATTGCAGAAAGTGACATAGCTTGGTGAGTTAATTTGTCCACTGATGTTCTCTATGTTTAATACAGCAAAAGGGAAGCTTTTACTTCACACCAGGTTGAACGTCTGTAGAGATTCTCAGTCATCCATGGTTGTCCCAAAGGTGCTTTTTCAGGAAGCAACTGGACTTTCTTGTTTTTTTCTTTTGAAGACCTTTTGCTTCTCATTCAAGAAGCTTCTTCTTTAGCTCTGACAGGATAGTGGGGAATGGAAGGATTTATATTTCTTGCAGAACAGCTGGTCATTTGCATCCTTTTAGAGGGTCCTTGAAGCACTTGGAGCTTTATCTTGTGTCCTCAGGGTCACCTGAGTGGTGCTCCTGGTTCCTGGTGACCCTTAGGACACAGATAAACTTCCAAGTGCTTCAACAACTCTCTAAAAGGATGCAGAAAATTCATTGAAGTTTTGTAAAAGGGTGGCCCTTTCTGAAGCTACAGTGAAATCCTTAATAAGCAATCACTCCCACACGGTGGCTCAGTGGCTAAGATACTGAGCTTGGCGATCGTAAGGTCGGCAGTTCAGCGGTTCAAATCCCTAGTGCCGCGTAATGGGGTGAACTCCTGTTACTTGTCCCAGCTTCTGCCAACCTATCAATTTGAAAGCACATAAAAATGCAAGAAGAAAAATAGGGACCACCTTTGGTGGGAAGGTAACAGCATTCTGTGCGCCTTTGGCATTGAGTCATGCCGGCCACATGACCATGGAGACGTCTTCGGACAGCGCTGGGTCTTTGGCTTTGAAACAGAGATGAGCACCGCCCCCTAGAGTCAGGAACAACTAGCACATATGTGCGAGGGGAACCTTTACCTTTACCTTTACTACTCACCTCTACGTAATACTGGAACTAGTTTAGATTTAAATGATACCAACAAAGAAGTGTGGGGATTTTTTTCTTTTTCTTTTTCTTTTTCTTTTTTTTTGCTTGCTGTTAGATATTTCCAATGTTAGACCTTCTAGGTGTAGTATAAAAATGTGATTCTTCCCTGATTTGGACCTGTACTGATGCCATGCCTTCTACATAATTAAATGTCCTTTTTAAAGTAGAGCATAATTCATCACCTTCTTCCTCTTTCAAATAATCTTTATTTTATAGACGCAGGGCAGTAAACCTGAGCTGAACTCATCCATAATTCAATCAAACAGGTTCATCTACACATGAGAATTCCAGTGTATATAAAGACTTCTAGAGTGTCACTTATCCTTTTCCTTTCAAGAGTTGATCAAGTCCATCAAACCTAAGTCCCACAGAAACCAGCATGAAGTCACGATTAACCCTGCAGTTAATTTGAGCAAGTAGTGTTAGTTTGGAATGGCTCTAACTCTTTATCTTTCAATGATTATATCGTTGACAAAAGCAAAGGTCTTCTACGCATCTTCGAGACTGTGGCAGAGTGACAAGCGACTGTGAAAATTGTCCATAAATAATATAAATCAAATCCCATTGTTTCCTAGTTCAAAAGCTGATTGTGTTCCCTGTTCTCTTCCATCAGGGGCTCTTAAAAGTTGCCATCGACAATGCACGGGCTCAAGAGAAGCAGGTGCAGCTCGAAAAGACGGAGCTCAAAATGGAACTCTTTAGGGAAAGAGAACTGAGAGAAACACTTGAAAAACAGTTAGCGGTGGAGCAGAAGAACAGAGGTAACCAAAAAAATAATAATGACCTTGTCTATTACCCTAGTTTTACCAAGCTGTCTCAAAACATCAAGGTATAATTTTGCATAGTCTCTATAATCAAGAGCGTTGATGGGTGTACTAAATGGGGTGTAAAATTATTTTTGGTGTCTGGATTGAAAGAATACCAGCAACAACAGATAATATCCCTGTGGATATCTGTTGTAACTGGAGAGCAAAGTTCCAAGAAGCTCTTTAACCCTACTTCTCAACAATTATGATTCTCAACACCAAAGAATTCCCTTACTCCTTAGTGTACCACCATTATTCTCTGTTTCGTAGTCTCCTTTCCACCACAATTATATAAACAGCTAAAAGAAATATGAGAGTTGTTTAAAAAGATTTTAATGCATATAAATGAGCAATATTTGTGAATTTCGCAGTTAGTGAAATGAAGCTACATCCAAAATTCCATTCAGTCAGAACTGAAGACCCTTCTTGGATGAGAAGTGAAACGTCTTCAAGGACAAACGAAATCCAGTGGCCTTTGAAAAAGCACCTTTGGGACAACCATGATCTGGATGAGTGGGAATCTCCATAGAAAACCACAACCTCTACTTTATGGGAGGGTGAAAATATCAAAGAACAGGCTGTCCCAAAAGCACTTTTTTCAAAAAGTGACTAGACTTTCTTGTTTTTTTTTCCTTGAAGACATTTTGCCTCTCATCCAAAAAGCTTCTTCAGTTCTGACTGAAAACAGGCTGTGAGATATCTGGAGAACAAACTGGCAGGGGTTGATTACAAAATTTTTATGTCAATTATGGCAGATAGATTAAAAAAAGTATTAGAAAAATTTATTCACTCTGATCAAAATGGCTTCCTGCCCAGAAGGCATATAAGGAACAATATTAGGACTGTCTTAGATACTATAGAATACTATGAAGACCATAATGAGAAATAAATGGCATTGATAATTATCGACGCACAAAAAGCTTTTGATAACATTAAATGGGACTTCATATTAGGACAATTAAACTATATGGACTTCAGGGAAAAATTTATAAAGATGTACAAAGCAATCTATTCTGGACAGGAAGCCAAAGTGGTAATTAATGGGGAAATGACGAAAAATTTTCCAATTCAAAAAGGAACAAGACAAGGCTGCCTGCTATCACCATTACTATTTATTCTATCACTAGAGATTTTAATTAGAACAATTCGAGAAGATGAACAGATCAAAGGCTTAAAAATAAAGAAATAAAATTTTAAAGTACAGGCGTTTGCGGATGACCTTGTCTTTATTATTGAAGAGCCTGTGCAATCTGGTGTTAGGCTGATGGAAGTGCTGGAGAAATATGGGGAAGTAGCAGGCGTAAAAATTAATAAGGAAAAAACGAAAATAATAGTTAAAAATATGAGCGAAAAGCAACACTTTTTCAAAAAGCAACTAGACGTTCTTTTTTTCCTTGAAGACATTTCACTTCTCATCCAAGAAGCTTCTTCGGTTCTGACTGAAAACAGGCTGTGAGATATCTGGAGAACAAACTGGCAGCGGTTGATTGTTTGTTCTATGGATATGCAGAGATTTGAAGTTTATTCACCCTGAATGTTCTTGAGGCTGTTTCTTTCTTTTTTTCCAAACCTTCATTTCTGATTTTCTAAAGTGCTTTTAGTACGGGAGGGGATTGTGATATCTAGGTGTAGTTGTTGAATTCCACAATCCCAACTTTGACTGGATGTTAGGGTAATTCACTAGGAAGTGGCAGAGATGAACCAGGTGGCGGTTCATTTTTGCGCGGAGCCCTGCAAAATCTGCCCTTGGAATTAATCTCTGCTCGCTGCCTAAACTGCAGATGCATAAATGGAAAAACGGCACGCTAAACGTTGCCATAGCGATGCTCACGAGGCCTAAAATAAATAAAATGTTAGAGCCAAGGTCTTGTAGTTGAACTTGAATGGATTTTTTTTTTTTTTTTATCCCTCCACAATAGCAATAATTCAGAAAAGGTTAAAGAAGGAAAAGAAGGCGAAGAGGAAATTGCAGGAAGCACTTGAATTCGAAACAAAGCGGCGAGAACAAGCCGAACAGGCGCTAAAGCAAGCAGCTTCCACCGATAACCTCAGGGTCCTAAATGGTGAGATGGCAAACTTCTTTTCTGGCTGGCTGATACTGGTTTCAAGTGCAGGGTGCATGGAAGACAAACAAACCACACGTCTCTTTGGGGAAATGACACTTCCTATCTCTTGCTGATGACACTTCCTATCTCTTGCTGATTGAATCTCTATATCTAAAAACCGGAAGTTTTATATCTAAAACCCGGAAGTTTTAAAGAAGAGATTGGATGATCATTTTTCTCATAGGGCAGAGGTGTCAAAGTCAATTTCATTGAGGTCCACAACAGGGTTGTGTTTGACCTTGGGGGGGGGGGTGGCATGGCCAGGGGGGGAGTGGCCAGCTCAACATTACTCATTGAGGCTCCATTTTAGGCCGCGACGACCTCCTGCAGCCCTCTGCCCATAAAAATGGAGCTTGGGGTGGCCGCACATGTCATTTTCAGCCATGACAACCTCCTGCAGCCCTCTGTCAGCAAAAACGGAGCTCATGGAAGCCATGCTCCCTCCTGAGCTCCATTTTCTCTGACAGAGGCATTGTGGGACAGTCCTTAGTTGTTTACAGGGTGGGCCCATGGGCCTTGAGTTTGACATCCCTGGTATAGGGGTTTCATGCTTGAGCAGGGGGTTGGGCTAGAATATCTCCAAGCAGGGTTGGGCTTCAAAAATTTTACCAAGGGGGTTCTCTGTCCAGCTGCTGGGTGGACGTGGCCATGATGAGTGTGGCCTAATTGGCCTCCTGCACCACAGTGGCAGGGTAGCGTTTTGTCCTCCCCAGGCTCCGGAGGCTTTCCTTGAGCCTCCAGGAGGGCGAAAATGGCCTCCCCAGGCTTCAGGGGCCCATTTCTGTCCTTCCTGAACTTCTCGTAGGCCTGTTTTTCACCCTCCCCGAGCCTCCACACACGCCTGCACTTACCTGCATCCAAAATGGACCGTGTGGGAGGGGCGGGGTGGGGGGGGACCAGCCATTTGGGGGTTCTCTGAACTGCACAGAATCTTAGTTCTGTGGGTTCTCCCAAACCCCTGCGAACCTCCAGCAGCCCACCCCTGTCTCCAAGGTCCCTTCTAACTCTGTTATTCTGTTAAAAGGAAGAAGTCTAAAAAAAAAAAATATTAGTGTTTTATTAAATTATCAGCTTGGCCATGGCTGTCCTCTTTCCCTGCTCTCATGATTCCTTCCCATCAATCTTGCTCCTCACAAAATTACGGTGCTGGCCCCCGTTTTTGTTCAACATTCAACACGGAGGCAAAGGTTGATTGTACGGTGATTCAGAAGTGGTAACAGGTTGTAAAAAGAGCCCTTTAAGATCCGAGTGAAATATGTGTCAGCTCTACCTTTCTGTGCTTTTTAGATTCTCTGACCCCAGAGATAGAAGCTGACCGCAGCGGGGGCCGAACAGATGCTGAGAGGACAATACAAGGTAGGAATTTTCAAAAGGCCATAAATCTAGATCGCAGTATATTAGTTTTTCCTCTACTTTAGCCTGCTATTCAAGCATGCAACCTGCCATCTGGGCCACATCAAAACAAGTTCATTCAAGGTCAGCTTCATCTGGACGGACTGTTTTTTTTTTCTTTTTTTTTTCAAAAGAGAAAATTCATTTTGTGTGATAGATTTCCTTTAAATTAGCAGGCCATTCAAGTTTATATAATGTAATTAGAAGAACAATTAATCTGGGACGATGAAGAATTTCATTCGGCATGGTAAACACACAAATGGACAATTTTTAGTTTGTCCAAGCCACACATTTTCAGTTTGAAATCTGGCTTAATGAGATAATTTTCAAGACTGGAATGCTTTATAATTTTCCAGTTTTTTAAACAAGCAAAAGAAACTAGAACACTCAGAATTTAACTCCTTAACTGTTATCCTGTCCCTGAGTAGATTTCACCATCATTACAGTTATTTATATTTTAATATATAAGTATAGAGAAAGCAAAAATTGGACAAGTAGCTCATATATTTTAAAAATTCTATTTATACTGGCCCTATTTATCCCTGGACCAAGAATGTTAATATGAATAATAAATAACACAGAGACAAAAAAAAAAAAAAAAAAACCACATAAAGCATTTATTTTCAATTTTAAAGGAAGGTAAATTCTTCAAAGACAATCTATAATGATTATTTTTTCATTTGATTTTTAAAGTCAACCCCTGTAAATCTATCATTTATGGTATTTTTGTATTAAACTTTAGTTTGTAATTCTTGTGAGGTGTTGTGCTAACTGTGATAGCATAGGAAAATATTCAGAAAGATAATAAGCAACACAATGACTAAACATGCATTAATAATAATAATACTAATAAAAAAGAATAGATAAATTGTCTCTTCTCCACACATCAGGAGACACATTGGAGAATTGGCCATGAATTATTTTGCCAGGTGTAATCTCAATGACACCAGACAGAAAAGTTTGATGACTCATCATTGTTTCAAATAGTTTAGCTCTGTACAAACCACCTTGCTCTGAGCGCATGAGATTAACTTAATTTAACGTTCTAACTATCAGCATCTCAATTTCACTGAATTTGCCCACCAGATTGTCCAATTCATCTTTATTTTTATGTTGTTTTTCATCAAAAATCCAACAGGCATATATTTCTGGAAGACCTATGCAGAGGTTTTTGCCTGGCTTGACATTCTAGAAGAAAATAGAAACATTCAAACAATATGAACTCTGTTTTTAAGATTAGTTATGCAGTCCCATCCCAAACAAAATATGTGCGGCAGGGATGGAAAAAGGTTTGATCTAGAACAGGATGGACATAGATTCATAGAGTTGTAAAACTTCTCTGAGCTTGTTTTTTTTTATTTATTTAAAATTAATAGTATTTTATTATGACACAATGTGACAATCACATAACATACAACATATAAATATCTCCTCTTTTTTCAACAGTGTTTCTTTGTGGTCTTCTTTCCGTTTTGTATCTATCCTCCCATATCTCTATTACTATTTCATTTTCTACATTGCCCCTTTTTCTTTGGTTACATTGGAATTTCTAACACTAATAATCTTAATTTTTAACATTTCTATGCATTTATTATAGACATATTTTATACTTTTAAATTCTTCCCTGTATTTATTATTCTTTATTTCTAGATTCAAGCCATTCATACCATTTGTTCCAAATTATATAATAATCTGTTTCTTCTTTTTCTTTAATTTCTTTTGTTAGAGCTTGGTTTTTTTATTGCCCACTTAGGTAACATCTGAAGGTAACAACTGCAAATGAAAAAAAACAAGCTCAGAGAACTCGTACAACCCAGAGCTACCTATATGCTTCACAGACCAGGTTCATGTCATCTTCTGGCCCTCTGGAATTTTGAGTCAGTCACACTAGTCTGTTACTTAAATGTACAATGCACGATGAAATGTGCAATGAAGATGTTTTTAATTTACCAATACTTATCGAGACAAAACCTGATATCCAAGACCTTTTAATTACGACAAGAGTGAACAGAGAACGTAATTGTGCTTCTCAGAGGAAAAGGTGATATAAAAGTTAAGAAATAAACAACTTATCGTGCATCAGAGAAACTTGCGGTGTCCAGAGAGTTTGCTGGTTGTAGAACGAGACCATCAAACTTCTCCATCCTTCTCTTTTGACATTAGCAAGATGATGATCATCTAGGAGGTTAAACAGCTTACATGTACTGTTTGTCATAAATATATTCACCATGGAGGTAATGAAACATAAATGTTATTCCTCTTGGCTGTATATAAATCAGAAGGTGATAGGACAGCTGTCTATTTAGAAAGAGTCATTAATCTTTTGATTCTGAAAAATTGAGTGGGTTAGGAAAGCTTGTCAAAGTGAAGGAAGAGCATTTCATGAGTAGAATGGGGAAGTTTCATAGGAGAAGAAACAGTCCTGCATATCTCCTGGAGCACTTCCTGCATTAAATATTTTACTAACATTGGGGTTTGGTACTTTGCTATTGGCTACTTTTGTTAGCATTTGTTACAATTACTTTCATTATAATTTTTGTCATATTACAAGGGGATTTATAGCTCAGAGGTTAAAGATGTTGAGCTTGTCAGCTGAAAAGCTGATAGCCTGGGTTTGAGACCCGAATACTGCACAACAGGGTGAGCTCCCATCCTTGCCTCAGTTCCTGCCCACCTAGCAAATTGAAAGCATGAAAATGCAAATAGATAAATAGGTACCACTTTGGTGGGAAGGTAACAATGTTCTGTGTGCCTTTGCCATGTAGCCATGCTGGCTACATGACCACAGAAAATATCTTTGGTCAACACTGGCTCCTTCGGTAAAGAGACAGAGATGAAGACTGCCCCCTAGAGTTGGACATGACTGGACAGGAGAAACCTTTACCTTTACCCTGACTTCTGTTAGTTGTGAAGGACTTTTGATCGTCAGCCATTTAATTTCTTATTCTGTCTTCGCATCATAATAAATTTTGAGAGCAGCCATGAGAAGGTTTTTCCAAGAATAAGTTGCATAAAAATTAATTTGCATTGAATGCCATTTTCAGATCAACTGATGGTTCTAAGTAAGTAAAAACACACTACTCAAATGACTTGACTTGGTGTCAAAAACATAACATGTCTTGAAAACTTTTAGAAGGTTTAGAATATTGTGGCTTACAAATTTGAAGTATTTTTATTCCAATGCTTCCTGGGCAGAAAATATCCAGACATTTAAAATACTCAAAGAATAAAAGTAAACTTTATGTAGATCGTAATCGATGCAATTTCAGAGGGTTACCTTGTACTTTAACTGTAAAAGTGAATTGTGGGAAAATTGAATGATTCAACGTTGATATTTCAGGAGAAATATCAGTTGAGTCAAAGCCCCAACTCTGACATAGCAACTCAAAGAACATAGGATATGGTTCATCAGTTATAAAAAGCTATTGTTAACTGATGACAAAAGGGCAGTCTTGCTGCCACTCTTATTGATAATTTGATGTCTAGGTAAGGATTCCATTTGTGCATTCTTTCATATTTTTATCTACTTTATGTCAAGCCCAATGGCTGATGACTTAATTGTCATAGGTGGTGTGGTAAAACTTCTTCCAGGGTCCCAGTGTATTTTTTTTCAGTCTTGTTTGTCCCTTTCTCACCAAATCCTGACCTGTTTAGTATTATAGCAATAGCACTTAGACTTATATACCACTTTACAGTGGTTTACAGCCCTCTCTAAATGATTTACAGAGTCAGCCTATTGCCCCCAATAATTTGGGTCCTCATTTTACCCACCTCGGAAGGATGGAAGGCTGAGTCAACCTTGAGCCTGGTGAGATTTCAACTGCCAGATTGCAGGCAGCCAGCAGTCAGCAGAAGTAGCCTGCAGTACTGCATTCTAACCACTGCTCCACTGCAGTTCATTATGGTCCAGCCAAGTCAATTAATATGCCATCTACTGGGGTTTTAAACCCGAAAATGTCAAATTCATATCTTAATCCAGTGTAAAAACCAAGTCACAACAGACTAAAGATAAAGGTAAAGGTTCCCCCATACATGCGTGCTAGTTGTTCTTGACACTAGGGGGCGGTGCTCATCTCCATTTCTAAGCCAAAGAGCCAGCGCTAACCGAAAACATCTCCATGGTCATGTGGCCGGCATGACTAAACGCCAAACGCGCACGAAGTGCTGTTACCTTACCACCAAAGGTGGTCCCTATTTTTCTACTTGCATTTTTTATGTGCTTTCAAACTACTAGATTGGCAGAAGCTGGGACAAGTAACGGGAGCTCACTCCATTACGTGGTGCTAGGGATTTGAACCGCTGAACTGCTGACCTTCTGATCGACAAGCTCAGCGTCTTAGCCACTAAGCCACCACGTCCCTCACAACAGGCTAAAGGGACTTAAAACCAACAATGTGACAGCTCTTTCCAATGCGATATAGCAATAGTTGTTCTTGGAATAATATACTATTACTTTCGTCATCAGCTATGACATTTAAAGCAAAATTCTATATTCTTTGTCATGGCAGGTCATCAGCTAATGGAAAAATTAACCATCCCACAGTAATTTTACAAAGAAAATAAATGAATGACTAAATCCCTCTAGCATGGCATCATCAGTTCAGTCCCATTCCAAACTAGTCAAAGTGGAAGCGCATTAAATCTATAACGAGGACACAAAGGATCATAGAATTTTGCAATGTGCTGAGAAAAGTTCTCCAACTGGGAAAAAAAAATATGACTAAGGGTTTCTACTGTCTCTAGTGTAGTCTACCTCGATAACTAAAGTTTGTAGAGCACCTCTGAACGGACAAGAGCGGGAGTCAAACACGCATTGTCACGATGGCATCACGTGATGTATCGCGACTTTTCCCCCCTTCGCTTAACCAAGTGTGGGCGTGGCCAGCGCGTGATGCATCTGGCCCGTGGGCCGCGAATTTGACATCCCTGCCATAGAGTGACCCAGACACGTGGTGTGTTTCCTACTGTTTTATGCTTATACACCCTGCCATTTGCTTTACTTGGCTCTGATAAAATCCTCCTCTTTTGTTTGCTCTTTAAACAGCTTTAGAAAAGGAGAGCAATTCTCAAATTATATTTTGTGGCCTTGAAACACCTCTCACTCCCCCGTGGTGTTGTGGATGGGTGTACGTACGTGTGTTTTCTTTCATAATTGATTCGCAAATATTCCATATGAAAACATTCATTATGTACTTCCCTCCTATTTCACTTTCCCCTCCCTTAACTAAGAATAAGCGGTGGAATTATAGCGCCCTGCACAGAAATGAAACAATAATAAGTTTATTTCCTGTCTTCTGGCACAGCAACTCTGGTATTTTGGCAGCTTTTCAGCTCTAGCTAATCAATTAAAGGCAACTTTTGATTAAGTTAAACAAAAGGTGGTATTGATTGCTGACAGTAACCTATAAATAGGCTATTGTTTCATACTGTTCATGGGTCACTCTTAGCTACACCTTTAAACTAGACATTATTCTATTTATCATTTCAGAAAGCAAAGCTTGTGGCATAGTTAAAGCATACTAACTTAGTCATTTCAGGGTTATTTTTCATCTTTTAAAGAGGAGTCTCTCTTAGAAGCTGTAGATATTTATGGATTTTTTTTTCAGGAGCCATCTGCATCTTGTTCTTTAAACTAATCCTTACATATAATCTCACGACCTGCTTGGAAAAAAAAAATAAATTAATCTTCTTGAATAATTCTTAATACAGTTCTACGACTGTATTAAGACAACTAATGTCCAAAGAAATTAGTAAGGCTGGGGTGAAAGTCAAGAAGGAGCCTTGGTATACAGTGGTCTAAAGCACCCTGTTATTAAGACCAGCAACCTGCAATTACTGGAAAACAAGATGGACATGCAATCTGGTGGTTTTATTATTATTTTAGCAATAGCACTTAGACTTATATACCGCTCCATAGTGCTTTTATAGCACTCTCTTGACAGTTTATAGAGTCAGCATATTGTCCCCAACAATCTGGGTCCTCATTTTGCCGGCCTCAGAAGGATGAAAGTCTGAGTCAACCTTGATCCAGTCAGGATCGAACTCCAGACTGTGGGCAGAGTTTGCCGGCAATACTGCATTCTAACCACTGCACCACCCAGGCTCCTATTTTCAGGCAAAAACCATGCATAATGTTTATGCAAAGTTGTTGTGGCCCGCCAGTGGCCTGCGCGGATCGTGGCTGATCCCAATGAGGAGGAGGCTGGAGTGGTGCTGCGCCAGCAGCCGGTGCAGCCGGTGCTCGCATCGGACAGCAAGGAGGCCAAAGAGGATGTGATGCCAGAGGCAGAGACTCAGCCAGGGCCTTCAGAACCTCCAGAGGCTCCTTCCAATGGAGAGAGCGAAGTGGAGGAGCCTCTCCTCAATGCTTGGGCACGCAGGGCTGCCAAAAGGCAGGAGTGGTTACTCAGGAGGAGGAGGAGGTCTACTCAAGAGTAGGGCTTGAGGATAATTGGCCACTCCCTTAGCCTATTTAAGTCGCACGCAGCTAGTGCTTTCTTGCTAGAAACAACGTCTCATTACTACAGAGCATCTTGGAGATTATTATTATTATTATATCTGGTTTTCTGGGCTGGTTGCCAACCTTTGTCGGACTTTGTTCTTAATAACTTTGATAAGGACCCTGCATTCTTGAAAGGGGTTTGTTTGGAATTAAACAGTGTTTGCGAAGCTTGGTGTGTGTCACATTCTCTGGGAATCCAAAGCTGGGGCAGAACAAAAGTGTGTGTCTTCCCAAATATATTATGCAAAGGAACCATGAGTATTTCTGGACTTGTGGAATCCCATAGCAACATCCTGCCATTGCCTTATCATTTCTTGTCCTGATATTAAGAACATAAACCT